ATAATGACTTGCAATTCATGTATTTGATCTAGAACGGACTTGGTATCAACCATGACAAATTCTAGAAATTTCAAGATGAGAAATTTGTCCGTACCTTCCTTCTCAGTTTTGTATTTGTATTCGAGAGCGTTCCAAATCTTCACCGGAGACTCCATCGAGTTGTAAAGATCGTAGAGCCTATCGGAGAGAGTGTTTAGAATATGACCCCGGTACATGATTTCATCATCTCCTCGCTTCTTCCTTGCAGTCTTCAATTCTTTAGAATCATCCTCCTTTGGTTCAGGAAGAGGCTCCAATTTCGGATCAAGTACGTAGGCGATCTTAAGCACGGTGAGAAGGAAGAACAACTTTCCTTTCCAGCGGATGAAGTTGGTACCATCAAAACGATCAAGTTGAACATTAGGATTGAGGAAAGACGTCATGTTCTTTTCAACCTCCATTGCAGCAAATTAAAACCTTAAAGATTATTGGAAAATTCAGAATTGGGAGGATGAAAAGAATAGAGAAAGCAGAAAAAGGGTTTGAGGCCTATAGAAATACTTTCCTTTAAGGTTTTATTTGCCCTCACTTCTCAAAGTTTGCTAATGAGTTTTTAAAATGGCAAATTACCCCCAAGATACAACAAACCCTTGAACACAATATCCAGCAAAAATATTGAGTTCCAGAACAATAATAATCTGTATTTTCTGAAGTCCATCAAATAAAGACAGGGATGCTTTTCTCCTCTTTAAGTGTTACAACCTTTCACATAAAGATACCTCTTCAATTTGAAGGTTATCTTTTATATGCTGATGCACTTATATTAATAGTTATTTCTATTGTTAATAAGTGCTCAGATATGTGAGAAAACATATCACAAATAGATGCCATGGTTCGAGACCTTTTCAGATCACTAAAACCCACGAAAACCCGTTTTCTGTTAGTAACATGCGCTGCAGCGGATGACATTCACGCTGCAGCGCTCGGGCTATGCAAAACAGACCCGAGAGGTCTGTTTTGTGCGCGCTGCAGCGCACGCTGCTGTGCGCTGCAGCGCTCTTGCTTTGTAAAACAGACCCGAGAAGTCTGTTTTGCGCAGGCTGCAGCGCACGCTCCTGCGCACTGCAGTGCGCGCTTGTGCGCTCCTGTTCTTCCCGAATGTGTTTTAGGCTAACTTTGTGATATCGAAATTGAGAGATATATTACAATCTCTCTAACAATATATTTGTAATATAGGCACAAAATTATATTCCTGTTATAAAAGTCTTTCATAGGAGATATCACGAATAAACAAAAGTTAATTATAAATAAAGACAGCACATATAGGGGAATGGGGTCGACGTGGTGCCTTAAGTAGTGTAATAATAAATATATTATTACCTATCCTCAAAACGGTTTAAATATATATTTTCTTCCTCTTTCATTTTCTTTCTATTTGAATTTTATTGCTATGTCTCATAAATTTTTAAATTTTTAATCTCAACAGCGTAATCTTTTTTATTGTGATTAATTTATATTTTAGTAGCGGTTAGTTTCTTTTACTCCTTTCATAAGTCAAACCAATTAATAAACGGTATATTTTATGAATCTCATAATATTTAGACTTCAAAAAGTATATATCCACAGACCAAAATAAAAAGAAATGCATATCTTCATAAGCTTCTGTGCAAATAACCTTTTTTTTAAGTTCTACGTAAATTTTTTTCTTATATTTATTCATAATCTTCGTTTTTTAAAAAATTTATGAATGATCTACGTTATTAAAAACTTAAATTACAAATCAATACATGCATCGCACATACCTTAACTATAAATATCTTAAATTTTAAATTATAAATCCTAAATATATAATAGGGCCGGTAATATGGGTCACGATACGACAACACGATTCGAACACAACACGAATTTCACAGGTTAGGGTTGAGAAAAAAGAGGTTCGGGTCAAAATTGGATAAACCTGAAATTGACACGAAAAATACGGGTTAATTTCAGGTTGGACCCACCTAACCCGAACACAACACAAAACTCGTAAAAAACTAAAAAATATATTTTTTTCATTACATATTTTAGATTTTATTATGAACTTGTGATATCATGATAGTTATACTCAAAATCTTATACTATTATTTGCTTAATTTTGATGGATGTTATTGTATTTTAGTGTGTTATAAATTTTAAGTTATTTCTAATATGTAAAAAACTAAAAAATATATATAATTTTCGTATCAATTTCAGGTTCACGGGTCAATTTCGTGTCACGGGTCATTTTTGAGTCGTGTCATGTCAACCCATAAAGTGATCGTGTCGTGTTCGTATTGCGGTTTTTAAAAAATTCCTGTCACGGGTCGTGTTCGAGTTGACTGTAAATTTAGAAAGAAACGATCAAAATACGATACGAACACGACACGTAATACGAATTGTCATCCCTAATATATAAAAGAGTAGATATGTGGTTACTACTAATGAAATAGTCCAAACGTTGATTTTTTTTCCTCTCCCTTTTTAAGTTTAAACTCTTTTATTATTTTTTTATTCTGTTATATATGGCTTCTGATCATTTAATGGTAGTTTAAAATTGTGAGTTTTAGGTGTTTTTACTTATTTTTCCTTTCCTTTTTAAGTTTTCATTCCTTAATTTTTCTTTATTAATCTAGAAACTGTTCATTCCATGGTAAAACGGTGAGTTTGAAGTGTTTTACTTTTTTTTTCTTTTTCTTTTTAATTTCAACTCCTTTAATTTTTTATTTTGTTATCTTATAATTTAAAATGTTTCATATATTTAATCATAGGTTGATTCTATTGACACTTCTCTTTTATCCTCTACACCTCCTTTTAAATACATGCATCATATTTGAAATAATTGAAATGTATTTTTAACACATCCCTATTGTTCTAAAATTACCCTTTATTATTTTCAACAAATTATTGGGCGCGTTTGGAATTCGTTACAAATTGATTTTATTTTTTGTATGAAAATGAAAATGAAAACGTTTTCAATCTCAGACAGAAATCATTTTTAAAATGTGTTTGGTAGTTTTATCAAGCGATTATTTTCAGTGTAAAAAGAACCCAGTAATGTTTTTCTTTCTCTCTCTCTGTGCTCGAGAGATGAGAAAATGAAAACAAAAAATGAAAAATAACTGTTAGGTCCGTTTTTATCCTGGTGTCACAAGTGGTGTTGCAACACTTTACTATAACACTGTTTTGTGACAGAGAATCTGAAATTAAACCAGCAAGGCAAAATGCAGGAAAATAATGCAGGAATGTAAATAACTCCAGAAAAATGATATCGCAGTCCGGTGCGCACACTGACTCTGCGGGGCCACACCCAGACAATGAACAATCCACTAAGTTCAAAGGATTACAAACACCAATCGGACTTATATACCCAAAGACTCCCTCCTTGACGTTGTCGCCGCCGTGTCGAATCTCCTTAATGGCCTTGCCCAGCGAGCACCACTCGTCTTCAAACTGCATGGCGAAATCCCTTCGGCTGGCAGTGCGCTTTCTCCCGAAAGCTTCTAATCCTTCTCCCGAAGGACGATCTTTAATCAACACATAAAGGCTTGCTCTCACATAGAATTTTTCTGAATATTTCTTCTATAAAAACCATGCCCCAAATGTATCCTGTGATTACCCAATATTTTTTTTAAGGTGCCCAAAAACTCACGTATGCCACTTATGTATATATAGCAAAGTTGCTCATGTGCCTATCCAGATTTTTCTGTTTTCAGCCCTGTGTCCCCACACCACGTTTTGCCTCTGTCTTTTTTTTTCTGTCGTTGCACCTCTAATTCAAAAAGCTCCTCAAGCTTGAAGATTTACCGGCCATTAATTCCCCCAAAAGTCCAATCTTCATTTTCAGCAATCAAATCCTTTGATTTGTAGTCCATAAACATGACAACAAGACTTTCCTTAATAGGTCTACCAATTTACAATGCCAACCAATCTTACAACTAATTTGCCAAAAATAAGCCAATATAAAAATGCACTAACAACTAAATGTCGTTTTTCATTTCTCCCTCATTTTACACTAAACCAAAAAATCGTTTTCATTTCCGTTTTTTGTCTTTATTGCGTCAAATGCCGTTTTAACAATGTTTTCATTCTTTTTTCTCAAAAAATGTGAAAAATAAAAACGGGATCAATTCCAAAGGCCTTGATAATTTTATCTTTCTTTACATATTCACCATTTAATTTTAATTCATAAGATTATCATTTCATTTTAAAGCAAAGGCTACTTTTTGTCCCTCCTTGCGGGGTTATCTTTTGTATAACATGCAACCATCTAACTCATGTAATCTTTTGATTCACAAAAATAACATGTTCAATGTCGTGAATACGTTTACTTCTCATGCGAAATACTAGGTTACTATAATGCTTGTGCGTCATGTAGAAGCTACCAAACTCGAGCAATGTTTTCATCAGAAAAAAAGACATGTGCAATATTCATGCATGTTAAAAATATTTCGCAACATTTGTACATATGTAGTGTTTTTCTTTCTATAAGATTTCCATGAGATTGTCTTTTCATTTTAAAAATAAATAATATTATAAATTAAAATGAAATGTTGAGTGTGAAAAGAAAAATGAAATTCTCAATAATTATTAATTTTATAAAAAAAAAAGAGTTAGGACTATTTTTAAAATAATAGGGGTGTGTTAAAAATAAATTCATCATTTGGAATTATATAAAATATGACGTGTACTATTTAAAAAGAGAGTGTAGGGAGACAAAAGGTTTGTGAAAGAACCACCTATATGCTTTTTACTTGCACAATATTATATACATATTTTTTAAATTTCATAATAATTTTTGTTTTATCTATTCTTTTTATTATTTATATTCTATGTTATAAAAATTCTAATGGCAACTCAATTATGCATGCGCATACCTAAATTAGTAATTTCACAATTGCCACGTAGCAATGTTTTATGTTCGTGCCAAGGTAATGTGGGGCCTCCAAGCTCCAAGTATAAAGGGACACAAGCCTCCCTCGCCCGCTTGTGCCACAGTCTCATAATTTCTTATCCCCCTCAACCATTATCCAAGCCTCTCTCTCAGGCTTCTGCAAAAACTTAACCTTTCCAACCAAAAAAAAAAAAAAAAAAGAAAACCACTGCCTTGCAGTGGTATCACATATATTAGGGAATAAAAAAAATGTCAAGTACCAATTCTCTCCCCAAAAAACAAGGGGAAACCATCCCAGATGCCTGGGACTACAAGGGCCGCCCCGCCGAGCGGTCGAAAACCGGCGGATGGGCTTCCGCCGCCATGATTCTAGGTCCTCCCACCTCCTCTCCTCCCTTAAAAATATTACCTTCCTAATTCTTAATTCTTCTTCTCCGCGCACACACGCACACACACACACACACACACTATATATATATATATATATATAAATTACTAATATATGTATGTATATATGAACTATAAATGTTTTACTAAATAATCAGGTGGAGAAGTAATGGAGAGGTTGACAACGCTTGGTATAGCCGTGAACTTGGTGACGTACTTGGTGGGAACCATGCATTTGGGAAATGCTACCTCCGCCAACACCGTCACCAACTTCCTCGGCACCTCTTTCATGCTCTGCTTGCTCGGCGGCTTCATCGCCGATACCTTTCTTGGCAGGTATATAATCATTAATTATTAAATTCAATTTAAAATATATATCTACAGGCCAGCCTAATTTTGTCGTTTAGTTCGTTGATTCGAGTTTTTAATTCGAGTTGAGATATAATTTTATATTATAGCTTTTTATTATAGTAAAAAAATTAAATATGATTATTTCTGAGAGCTTTTTGTTATAACAAAATTCGAATCCTAAACTTGAATCGATAAAATAAATGATATCTTAATATACACATGCTGTTTTCTGCAGCTTTCTAATAGTACTATGTCACTTAATTAGATTAATTACGTTAAAAAAACGTTTGTTTGTTTGTTTTTTTTTTTTCCCCCTAACACGTTCGGCTTTCCTCGTCGTCTTTGATTTCATAGATACCTCACCATTGCCATCTTTGCCACCGTCCAAGCAACTGTAAGCCTATCTTCTTGTTGGCATATAACTTGTGTAAAAAATAAAAAATAACAATTTATATCTAGATTCTTAATCTTGGCGCAAAGTGATTTCTTATTAGGGTTTTGGTGGTGGTCTTATTTATTAGGGTGTAACGATATTGACAATTTCAACCATTGTCCCAAGCCTCCGGCCACCAAAATGCACGGCCGACAAGCCGTGCATCCAGGCAAGCGGCATGGAGCTCACCGTCCTCTACATAGCGCTGTATCTAACCGCCCTCGGCACCGGCGGCCTAAAATCCAGCGTCTCCGGCTTCGGCTCCGACCAGTTTGACGAGACCGATGCAGAAGAGAGAAAAAAAATGACAAAGTTCTTTAACTGGTTCTTCTTCTTCATAAGCATAGGCTCTCTTGGAGCGGTGACAGTTCTGGTGTACATCCAAGACAACCTCGGACGAGAATGGGGTTACGGAATATGTGCATGCGCAATAGTCTTGGGATTAGTCGTGCTCTTGTCGGGGACAAGGCGTTACCGCTTCAAGAAACTCAGTGGAAGCCCTCTCACGCAGATGGCCACTGTCTTTGTGGCTGCTTGGAAGAACAGGAAGCTTGAGATGCCTTAACTGTCCTATTAATTACTTTTCCTCTCCAGTTAATTAATTGTTTCTTTTTTCTCGAGGGGTCATAAGAATAAAACTTAATGTTAAAAGAATTAAAACTAATCATATTGTAGAGAACTTTGAATCTTTTCCCCTTTTTGCGCGCTACTAACTAGCGAAAAAGTCTTGACCAGATTGAGTAATTAATGTGAATCAACGGTCATATTACATCTCACACGCACATATAATATATTTATGCTAAAGCTAATATATTTCTGATGAGATTATGAGCGGACTTATAGACCCATATATTGACTTTGGATCAAATTAGGACAATGATAGATTTGTAGGGAATAAATTAATCAAACCTTACACGTGAATCGTGTTATAACTAATAAAAACCATGGTAGTAATTACCATATTGAAGGAGAGTGACGTGCATTAATTTTGTAGCTAGGTTAGTTGCGTGGGGCAAAGTAAAAACGTCCAAGAACTAGCTAGTGAAAATAATTGAAGGAGATTGACATGCATATAATTAGTCTCGTCAATTTACAAGTAGAGAGAGAGAGAGAGAGAGAGAGAGAGAGAGAGAGAGAGAGAGAGAGAGAGAGAGAGAGAGAGAGAGAGAGAGAGAGAGAGAGAGAGAGAGAGAGAGAGAGAGAGAGAGAGAGAGAGAGAGAGAGAGAGAGAGAGAGAGAGAGAGAGAGAGAGAGAGAGAGAGAGAGAGAGAGAGAGAGAGAGAGAGAGAGAGAGAGAGAGAGAGAGAGAGAGAGAGAGAGAGAGAGAGATTGAGAGAGAGAGGTGGGAGTGTTACAACAGAGTAGGCTTATCCATCAATGAAAGGAATGTATTTATCCCTTGGTTATTGGTCTATCAAATGGACAGGACAGCCAATTTTACTTTGATTAACTAGCTCGTGTGAATATATATATATATATATAGCAGGTATTTGGCTTGGTTATATATGTAGCAATATTATGTCTGTATAAGATGCAGATTACATCATCATTTATTTAATTCTCATAAATATCTGAACAAGTTTCAATTTATATGTACCAGAATAAACCAAAGAGAAGTGAGGGGAGAAAAAACAAAAAAAAAAAATGGAAACTTCAGATCTAAGGACCACACATGTAAACAAGAGAGAGAGAAAAAATCCCGCATCGATTTTTGTAGCATTAGAATCATATCCATTTGAATCTCACATATATATAAATATAGTATTTTTTTTTTTTTTTTTGTTGATAAAAGTAATTATAGTGTATATATGAATAAAAGGTAAACATGTACGTCCCATTTAATCATTTCCCGATAAAGTAGCCAGCGTTATATATATGTACAACCCATGCACAACACGGGGTTGGCTGTCTTCAATAAGACAATGCCACGTGGCAGCATAAGTTGAATCTTCACACTTAGCAATAATTAATAGCCAAATAATAATATTACAGATCAGTACTGATAGATAGAATTATATATATATATATATATATATATATAATCAAAAAGGAATCACGAGGGATTAGGGAACATCACATAACATTATTGCCTTTAATTATGTGCACCGAATCAGTCCTCACACCTCTTGTCTTGGAGCACCATGCATTAATATTAGCTAGTCCAATGCATCTTCCCCTCCCCAGGTAAGAGCTAACCCACACAAGACAACGACCCACATATATATATATATATATATATATATATTTACCCACTTTATCATCTGCCTGTTCCCTTTAATTTCTTCCATCACTCACATCCCCCTATTTTTAGAAACAATTAAAACCATACCACAGAATTTTTTTTTTTTCTTCAAGCAAACTCTTGTGTTGTGTACTTAATGTCTCCATTTTACCCCAACAAGCCAAAAACCAAAAAAAAAAAAAAAAACAAAGAAAGAATATCTGTGACTCATCATGTGACGACCCACATCATCCAACAGCACCTCACGTACGAGTAACTCCAACTTCTTCTTTTCAATAAAGGTGTATAGCTTCAGAGCAAAGCAAAAAAAAAAAAAAAAAAAGGTGTATAGCTGGCTTAAAGTGGATCTAAGTAAAGTGTGATCCCTTTTTTTATTTTTGATTCCCTTACGTTCCCAGAGATTGACACATATTAGCTATTATCACGTCATATGATTAAAAAATTATTGTCGGCTCATTATATAAAAATTACAATCATGAAAATTTTTCAACTGCTGAAAATCTAGTTTTCATGCATATATATAAATATTTTCTTGCGCGGTGCAGTTTCTTGGACAAGGCAGCAATCAAGAGGCCAGATTTGGCACCGGCCACGGTGACCAAGTGGAATTTATCAACCCTAACAGACATAGAGGAAGTGAAAACAGTGATCAGAATGTTACCCATTTGGGCCACCACCATAATATTTTGGACAATTTATGCACAATTTGTCACTTTTTCTGTATCACAAGCAACCACCATGGACCGCTACATGGGCTCTTTCCAGATCCCAAGCGCTTCCCTCACTGTCTTCTTCGTTGGCAGCATTCTCTTGACGGTCCCGGTTTACGACAGAATCATTCTCCCAATCACTAGAAATCTCCTCAATAACCCACAAGGCCTAACCCCTTTGCAACGCATTGGGATTGGCCTTGTTTTCTCCATCTTTGCAATGATAGCCGCTGCTCTCACCGAGATCAAACGCCTCCACGTGGCAAGATCACACGGCTTGACCGATAGTGCAACGGCTGAGATCCCCATGAGCGTTTTCTGGCTGGTCCCACAGTTTTTCCTAGTGGGGTCAGGGGAGGCATTCATATACATTGGTCAACTTGACTTCTTTCTTAGGGAGTGCCCCAAAGGAATGAAGACAATGAGCACAGGGCTGTTTTTGAGCACATTGTCACTTGGGTTTTTTGTTAGCTCATTGTTGGTGACAATTGTGCATAAAGTGACATGGAATACAAAACCATGGTTGCCGGATAATCTTAACCAAGGCAGGCTTTATGACTTCTATTGGTTGTTGGCGGCTTTGAGTGCCTTGAATTTTGTGATATATTTGGTTTGTGCCAAATGGTATGTGTACAAGGACAAGAGGCTTGCTGATGCTGGCATAGAGTTGGAGGAAGTTGATGTCGTTTGTCACTAAAAATTAGATGGAGAGAGAGAAAAAAAGAAAAAAAAAATCATTGCTTCTCGGTGGAGGCCTTTCCAGTGTCACAAGTCGACTTTTAATGAGATTGTAGCTTGTTATTAATTATATGCAAAATAGAAATTAAAGGAAATGGTTTCGAGTTTAATTTTTTTTTTTTTCCTTTTCTAATAGAAATTAGTGGAGTCTATGTATAAACAAAAATACAGAGGTGACAAAAAGAGTGATAAAAAGAGTGAGAGTAACAATCTCTTTATTTAAATATTGTAATACAACTTTCTCATGTATGAGATAAATTAAGAACATGCATAATTATGATCTCCTAGCTATGATCTTACCAGATGGCTTCAATTATGATCAACTCCTCAATTAAAACAAAGAGATCATAAATATAATACAATACAATACTATATATATATATATAACAAAAGAAAAACAAACAGAAAATAAAACTAAATTAAAGAGATTAATACCAATAATGTGTACTCGTGCAAAAGTGTAATCCAAATCAAACAGATTGTCCGTAGCTAGCAGGCAAAACTAGAGACGAGCATTACTGGTTGGAATCTCACTAATAATAATAAACTTGTTGTATAAATAAGTTAGTAGCCCAGAAATTTGCCACTCCATCTCATTCAAATCCCACATGACACGAGCAATGTATTTTTCGTAAAGGGTGAGAAATGTGATATTATTGGATCTCACATATATTGCAAAAACAAAGTAAAAATTAGGAAGAGACCGTTAAGGAATGCCATTTTTGAGAAAATCATGGGCAGTAGCTTTTATTCCTGGGGAAAATGGATCGTCGGCGTCATTTTGTTATGTCATTTCAATTGAACAGAATCAAAGTGCTCACTAATACAATAAAATAAAAAACCTACTCAATATTTAAGTTTTGTTTTACTCACACGCACTACCACAAGTTCAGTATTGCATTGTCCATTAATTAGGTAGGGACTTTGAAAGTATCAAATTTTGAGCTCATCATTTTGGAAGCGGAAAATGAAAAACGAAAGACATCTTAATTACTGAACCATTCTATTCATAATTGTTAAAAAAAAGTACACGTGTGTTGTTCCAAATAAAAAGTGGGTAAAAATATGAAATAGTTTGTATGTATAGAATGACCCAAAACTTAATAAGTTAATTTTTTGAGTCAAGTTAAACTTTTAAAATACATTGAGTCAGTTTCACATGTGGTGTCTCTCAACAATAATATGAGCAATAGTTATTTATTGTAACAAACATATGGGTAGCAATGTCCTTGTCCAATGAATGGTATGAGACGCTAAGAACCTAATTTTTTCTTTTGTTTATGCACATTAGACCTATACACATATATACAATAAATTATAACGTTATGATCAATAATTCGTCAACAACCCCAATAATTCTAAGGGGCCCTACAAAAACCAATCATATAAAATAATCAACGATATATGATTATATATCGCGTTATATTCATGTGAGGCAAATTTTGCATCCATTGGAAGCAAAAGCTATGATTTGGGATTTTGGGATGAATGAGAAATAAATTAAATAAGTACGTGTTAATGTCAAAGTTTCAAAGGGCGATCCAACTTTCTTGGTTGTCAAAAAGGTACAAAAGATATAATTATTTATATATTTTATTAGCAAATCACCAAAGCCCAGGGAGGACTACTAGGATTTTGATATTTGCATGATATAAACATTGAACATATCATTCTTCCAATATATAGCGTTGAATATATCTATCTAATAAACAATTTATTAATCCATCAAATACATGCATTATGCGTCCCACCATCATATAGAGAATAGCTTTCCCTCTTAAGCAGCTTAACTGAAAATATACCTTCTATTATATTACTTAAACAATAATATTACGTTCTAATATGTTATTGTTGAACTGTTTTTACAAAAAAATATTTTGTTTGTATGATGTGAATTCTTGTGCTTATTATGTACCATTTGAAATATGAAAATGGTCAAATTCTATAAGAATAAGAGATTTCATGACAGGGCCACATGTGAAAAAGGTTCTAATAATACAATATTAATGTTATATAAGTCGGCCTTAAATATTAAAGGAAAGCATTTTGATGTGAAAATTATTTATGGTTTCATCACTCATATAGTTCTGGTGATGCAGGGAAACCTTATATTTGAAGTTCTAGTTGTATGAGCAAGAATGATCCAAATAAAGTTGTTTTCTTTGTTGTCTGATGCAATGTGTGTTTTGAGGAACCAAGAACTATTTTCCCAAAGCAGTATCTTTACACCAATTATATGAAATCACCATTTTGAAAATGGGAACCAAATTGCCCGTAAATCTGCAATTCTTTCTAATATACAATACGAATCTGTTGTCGATATTGGTTTTAAACCGCCTGAGATATTACAAAGTCCCTCTCAAATTGATCAACTATATGGAAAGATTCTCATGGAGACGACATGATACACTCTACTTTGTAGTCCAAATTTCAATATCTTCATTTAAATGAGCTCACTTGACTTATAGGAAGTCGTTTCCATCCAAATTTTCAGAAGTTGTGGTTGATTTGGAAACATTATGGAGTACTTTGTTAAACTCAAGCAATTACTTGTCAAAATTAAACTTTTTGGGGACAATTTGTCAATCATAAAATTTTGAGGAATGATAAATATACTATTTATTTTTATTACGCTGTAAATTTTAGTATAGTAAATTCCTTATTTACCCGTAATAACTTATTTTTTCCCAATTGGATTTATATACTCTTGTGAAAAAGAAATCAGTCATTTCTTAAAACGAGATACTAAATCAAGTCCTTTTTTTTTTTTTTTTTTGGTAAATTACCCAAGAGAGAGTGACCGAAACATGAACTCAAGTACTCAACTCCATTTGCTGGACTCAAATGATGACATGAATACATCTTTTCTTCTTTTATTCTGAAAAAGAGAATACAAATAAATGTGGAACTAAAATCAGTGCTCAGCCAATCACTAGCACCACACATTAGGGGGGGAGAAAGAGAAAAGGACAGCGAGATATTACCATTACATTACATAATCCAACACTCAAACATCTCTAACATTTGGTGACGTTAGACGATAATCTAAACATCTTTGGAGTTACAAGGATATCTTAGACTATAATCTAACCCTCAACTTAGTTATAGTTAGAAGATTTAATCCCTTCTTTAAATTCCCCTTTGGTGGGGTCAGTTCTTTAACCCAGCTATAAACTCGGGTGGACCTTTTTCTCCACACTAGTTCTGAAACGCTTTTTATCTGTATCCTGTAGCCTGTATTTTTATCAAAGTTTTAGTTTTATTCAGATGAAACGTTCAATTCAAAGATGTACTTGTTATCACATCATTGTAAAAAGGCAGTTTTAAATAAATGTAATAATGTTTTGTGGGGGAGAAACAGATATAAACCTGAATCATTTCATGACCCTTCCAAGGGATCAGCAAGGCCTTCATTGAATTCACCAAAGATATCGGGACAGCCATCCCATTTCCCCTGCTCGCGCGCCTCCCAATAGCCGCCCACATAGCGAAAAGGTCCGTTTCCACCATCTCTCTCGAACCATTTCGGCTTCCACCCATTTTCTTGTAGTTTCCTTGACTGCATGATGACAGACATGTCATTAGAACTCGTCGGTGAAACAATATAAGTTATTTCTTCTAGTTTGTGTTGTGAAAACAGATTTTCACCAACTGCGCATTGTATTTCATACCATTCTCTGCCTCTTCTCTAACCGCTGTTTCTCTGCATTTGCCTTCTCATATTCTCCGTTCTCCAGATGCCGCTGGTCTGGTCTAAGCCTGGAATCCGTGGGCGGTAGCTTCTCCTTAATCCGTGATCAAATACCCGGGATCAGACAAAGCTATAAAAAACGATTAGAGATGCATGAGGAAAATTAAAATGCACGTGAAATAACTTCATCTAATATATCATGTCTACCTGCAAACCAGGGATTAGCTCGTTCAATGTGATCGCAAATGAAGTTAAGTTGTACCGCGTCAAATTAGGAGGCGGCTTAGTCCTTTTCCACAACAAGGATGATTCAGATGATGAAGTGCAGTCCTTTGGATTGTTGCTCCTATCACCATTAACATAATACATGCTATCATCCCACTTGCCGAATAATGTAGCAAATTTTTTGCCCGTAACATCTTCGACAAATCCATTAACCTGCAAAATTAAGATACTCAAGTAATTAGCTAATCATGTTTAGGGAATGAAAATAACACCAAATTTAGATTAATAAGTTGCATCCTTAGTAAATAAACAAACCAGAAAACAGAACAAAGAAGGTTCTGAGGTTTTCTTGTGATTACAGGATTTAAGCATGGAGTTGCATTGCTAACCTGGCGAGGATTTCGGTCAAGAAGTGACTGCTCTTTGAACTTGAGTTTGCATGAATGCTGGCGGTTCCCACGTATATGCATAATCCCATGGTGATCACAGTAGACTTTGCCGAAGATAAGGTTATAAATAGACGTTGTTACCTACGAACATCATGATTGTATCTCAGTTCATTTGGACTTGAACATACAAATAGAGAGACATAAAAAAACCACTCAATGTACAGCAATTTATGCACCTTACTCCATTGGAAAACTTCACCATCATCAAATTCTACAGATAGAATTCCAACAGGGTCAAGCTGAATTGACGTGCCACAAAATTTCGATCGGAGGTTGCTGTCGCCCCAGAATTTCCAGCCTCTACCTTCACAGTGGCAGGCAATGAGGGTTGGGTGGTGACTAACCTGTTTCAATATTGAATATTTGTTTAAACATTTTAGATTGAAGATTGAATATTTCTTCTTATATTTATCAATCATATCCCACAATGATCCATCATCTCTGTAGTCCAGAATTATCCAACAAAAGATTCTTCCCATTACAATATCTTCATAAGAAAAACCTGAAATTTATTTGCCAACCTTATTGGACCATTTTTAGTTTAAGCTCAACATAAAAGCGCATTTCCTTTTTCTAATCAACTTCAATGTTGTATGACAGATACCTTCTCAGAAAAGAAGCGAACTCCTCTATCAGGATAATCAGCTTCATATGTTTCCCCCAACAAAGGATTGAAGGGCTTGCAATGCCGACCTTCAGACGAAGCATATGCAGACACCGCAAACGCTGCAACATTCAGAATCCTTTGGAGGCTGTTCCCCTGACAACATCACACAAGACACCAAGGAAGTGAATTAGAATCCAGAAATTCTAATCTTATTTTTTTTCTCTTTGATATATAAACTGTGAACTATTCCACTGCATTGAACCTAATTATCCTAACTTGAAACACAAGAAACTCGATTAACTTTCATGACATGTACTCAAAAGTCTTAAGATGGAGCAATAGAAAGGGATAAGGAGAGATTCTCTAATAATTAGGACCATGAATAGGCAAGACATCCTAACTAAAAGACACTCATGAATTAATCAATTTTACCGCTTTTCCATGGTCATATGCTCGATCCAAGAGATACGAGTACTCCATGTCTTCGAAACATTTCTGAAGGGATGATATCGGCTCATTAAAGTAAACAGGAAGGCAAACTCGTGTGAGATCCTTCCCTACATTGTCTTTGATCATAGACCATAGACTAACTCCTTTCTCCTTCTCGAGTGGATCGGGAAGCTTTTTTCGCCTTTCAACATGTGGGTACCTAGACTCATGAACTACTTCCTTCTGATTCTGCATTTTCTCTGCATTACCGAATTGACTTTCGGGCTTCCTATGCTTGTCAGTGTTATTTACAACTTCTTTCATAGAGCCACAACCAGTGGTGGATTCAGAAAATTCCTCTCTTGAGTCATAAAAGGATGCTTCATCTTCATCTGACACTTCTTCAAGCTCTTGTTTCTCAATATCATCAGATGACTCGGTTGTGCTGCATTCTAAGAACCAAATAAATATATAAAAATTAAAAAGAAATGGTCGTGATAGATAGTACTAAGTTTCAAGAAGAATTCTTGTTCGTCAGCATCCTCAGATCTGATCCCAATACTGACATGATCAACAGTTGATAGTTTCTTTGCAAACATTGAATAATAAAGCAAAGAGAAGGAACACAAATCACTCAATCTTACCACTATATTTTCCACGTCCTAGACTCGAAAACTCATGCCTTGTCAATTGGTATTCGCCATCAGTTATTCCAGATGCTTCCGCATCAATATTAGCTGCCTGCATATGAAAACAGTGAAACTATAAGCAATATCACAAACCCAAAACGGAATTAACAAAATTAAAATTTAATCATAGAAGATAGCATTCCAGACAACAGACTGCCAAAGGAAATTTCTGAAATGCATTGCATTTGCAAACAAGGCAATGCCACTGAACCATCACAATCTCCAGCTTTGGGAATGCCACTTTGATGTGATGTCACATCAAAATGGAACAAACAAACGCCAATTAACCTAAAATTACTCCATGAAAAACATGTTTTTCGACTCGGCAT